AAACTTGTCAAAAGCCTGCACTACAATACTAATTCCTCTTTACCTGTTTGTGAATGTCAGCTGGGAGCAGGCGCTGAAAAGCTTTTGGGGGGAAAAAGCAAGGGGGAGAAGGGGGAAAGGAGGGGTCGGGGGGCAAAGAAAAACTGAAGGGCAATTCAAACAAAAGTGAAATCTCACACACACACACACACACACACACACACACACACTCAGACACACAAAGAGAGGGAAAAAATGCTCCCCCCACCCCAGGTCCTAACAACATACCTCTTTATCAGAGGTTCATTGTCAATCAATTAGCCGAGGCAGCGGGGGTCTGTGAGGTGGGGGCGCCCAGGGAAACAATGGGCAACCCTGTTGTATTACTATTTAATCACTTTTGCTAAATAAATAGAGCAGCCCCGAGGTGCTGTCATGTCAAGGGAATTTATAACAAAAAAAAACTTCATTTTTCATTGGTCATTCCCTTTTTTCCTTCAGGACAAGAGAGGGTTATTACTGTAGCCTTAAGTTCCATCTTTGTGTTTCTTGCCTTTGATTCCCACTCGGACCCTGCCACTTTCTGGCACTAATTTGTCAGGCTGAACAAAGAGAGGATTTGTACCTCCTGTAAGGTCTCAATTAGGAATGGCTTCTGCTGTATTATGTGCCATTCAGAGAGGACACAATGCCGGTAATTACAGGAATTTGCACTAAATGGCTGAAGAATTCACAGCAAAACTCCTGCTCCCCCTCCCAACCCCACCTTGGGCTAACCCCTCCCAAGGGCTTGGGGGGGAGAAAAAGGAAAGCAAAAAGCTCTTAAAGCCGGAGAGACGTAATTACCGACAGCAGTCCCAAGAGGTTAAACAGCAGCCAAAGGAGTTAAACTATAAAAAACTGACAGTGTGAAAATGGTGGCGAGGATCCCCAGGGCTCACTGTTTTTCTTGCTGTCTCTTCCGTTAACATTTTCAACTTCAGTTCAGGATCGGGAACATTGTCCCGCAGTGGGCCATCTGATTTCACTACCAGATTACAAAGCAATAACAAAAGGGACGCTTTAAAAGGTGAGCTTTATGCCTCCCTGTTGCACCTATAAACAAGGCCCTGAGTCCTTTTATTATAGTGCTGTACTCAATTGCTAGGTTTCTTGATTACTGGGAAATTACAGGAAAAATATCTGTGTGTACCAGTGCCAAGAAAACCGTGTCATCTGTTGAGGGGAAAGAGGTATGTACACATGTCTAATTCCTGAAGAAAACAGGGCTGCTGCCTTATAACCTAATTTATACAGCTATTTGTGAGCAACCTAACTTAGAACCACTTACAGGTACATACTTCATAAATATTTTAATAAGCCACGTAATCATTTGTTTTAGCATTAATATTTTAATAGCACTGATTCCACATTGCCAAACAAACACCATTTAGAATCCCGATCGGTAACTTCGCCAAAGAAGCGCACCTCATTTTCTGCTACAGAAGGGTTTCTGAAAAGCTGTACTAAAGCACCACCAAATTAATTATTATTCAATACCACTTGCATCCTGTGCTCCTCTGCTCAGGTACTTTCTGCGGCTTCGGGGCCAAATGCTAAGTTCAACCTTGTCAAACTGTCCCTTTTTGGTAGGTCAAAAATGACCAACTATCTGAAGCGTCATAGAGTTGTGCATGGCACCGCCGCTGCTGATATTCTCTAATCCCGTGACCACGCCAGCCTTCCAAAGCTCTTGTCCCAGTAGCCAGCTGGCATTCATGATGTCATTATTTGATTAACGACCATCTTCCCTAGTGGACTGCAAGTTCACAAGAGCAGGGACCATGTCTGCTTTCTTGGAGCAATGACTTGCCCAGGTGCATCCAAGTTTCAGAAACGTGATCAGAAACCTGGCACACCATATGTGGTAGAATGAATGAAAGAAATTAATTTTCAAAGGCATACGTTCAAGGAAGAGGGAACAGCACGTGTAAAGGCCATGGAGGCAGGGACGACCGAGGTGGGTTCCAGAGCGGCAAGCAGACCGCCCCAGCGGGGGCTCCCCAGCACAGGGCAGGCCGTGGCCCTGGAGAGGAGGCCTTGGGACCAACCGCACATAATCAAACGCAACTATAAAAAGTTCGGGCACATGTTAAGAAATATACAGTTATACATAAGCATGTATTTGCAAAACCATAACCTCAGACATTTTTGGACGGTTGCGGTCCATTTTCTCTGCAGGGGCACTTTAAGTTTCAAAGAAGGATATAGAAAATTCTTCACCTATAGAAAGAATTGAGTGCAATAAGGCCAACTGCACTATTTTGTAGATTGAAAAGCCAACATTTGTGGCTCTCCTGAATAGCAACTGAATGACATCATTAATAAAGAGCTACTCAGTGCAATCTTCCACTTTTAAGGTTTATTCATCAAAACTATTTAAAGGGAGAGGGACTAAGTGGATATAAAAACTTACAGTCTAAAAAGGCTCACTAAAATCATGAAATATAGTCAATTTGCTTCTCCTTAAAATAATAGATAAAGCCAAGATTCAACTAAAAACAGTTTACTGGACTTTTTGGCCTTCTGGAAGGTAAACACGACCATGCAACCAGCTTTTTCACCGAATGAGTGTTTTTATGAGGATGCAAAGTTAGGGAACACAAGTACTACACGAAGAAGCAGCTGGTTTAGATTAACTGTGTTTGTGAGAAACATAGATCAATTTTTAAAGTTCCATCTGCTATAATAATCTTTGATATAATGAACAGCCTCCCAAGTAATTTAAAAAACATTCAGAGCTTTGCTTAACAAGTTCCTGCCTTTTTCTTTTGACACTCTGCCCCCTACAGGAGATGAAGTATTCCTACCTGAGATAGGAATCAAGTATTCCATGCAACAGCAATTAAGGAAAATGAAAAGCAACCCAGTAAAACCACATGTACCACAAAGCAACTGAATGTAGCAGTTTCTGGTAGAAGAGAGAGCAATGAAATGAAATTAAAATTTTTGACTTTGGAATTGGCCACACTATACAAATTAGGATCGACTTCTCCCCACCCCAAATTAAAAGCCTATCTATGTCCTGTTAAAACTCCAAACCAAAACATGAAGGTAAAAGCTGAGCGAAGCAAATGAGTTTTACACTGCATTACCCCTGTCTCCTGGATTCCCTGCTACCAACCTGTGCTCCAACCAGCCAAATTTAGTGCACACAGCAAAGGGAGGCAGCCTCAAATATGGAACCCAAAGCAGCTGCCCAGACATGCTATCCCCACCCATTATCTAATCCTTTTTTTGCTCTTTTCCACTTTGCATCCTTTCTCCTGCCTCTTCTACTCACCCTTCACCTTTGTTTTTTCCCTGTTTTCATTTCTCCACCTGCCAGATGCAGTGGACCTGCTGAATGGTACCTTCTACCTGCATTTCTCCCTCTTCTGAGTACTAAAAACACCACTAATGCAATACAGAACAGCGCGCTCTTCTGCGGGAAGCAAACTAATGAGAGGGAGGCAAATTAGGTGACAACTACGTAACAATCCTTATGCTGCACCTGAGGCTTTTCTTCCCTGTTTACTAGAAAGATTCCCAACTCAGCTACCGCCGCCGGCCCTACCTTGAGAACTAAGCTGGGCTGTCCTCCCTGATTCTAATATCACGGCAGGTAAGTGACCCTCTCAGCAACCTAAAGCCAGAAAAGTACCCCATAATTCCCGAACGTCCACAGAGCAAGCACTCAGTACATGACCATTGAATGTCTGAACTGAAATATACTGTAATTACTAGTATACTTAGATACCGAAATGCTAATCATTTCTAAAGAACTGCACTGCAACCCACGTATCTTTATTTCAAAACCATTTTTCAAAAGTAGATGGCTGGCCTCACACACACACACACACACACACACACACACACACACACCCCCAGCCCCCCGCAGCCGAGTCTGGCTCCCTCACCGGCTACGGGCTCCCACTCTCTCCAGCCCTACCCGGCCCTGCTTCTGCTTCGCAGCCACTGGGCGGGCAGGGATAACTGGCCTGCTCCCGACCACCCCCGTGATAGAGAAGGCCACCATCACCGAAATAGTCTAAACTCACCTAAAGTCAAAACGGGGGTTTTCAGTGCGCCACCATTATTGATGGCTTTTCAATGTGGGCGCAAGCACAAATTTTAAAATTTGGTCTCAGCCGGTGGTGAGCTTCTCGTACATTTTTAAACAATATACTTGAAAATCTGATGTACCTGAATTAAAATTTTCCACATTGGGCTTCCAATTAAAGCTGCCTTTGTGGTAAATTTCTTGTCACAAATCGTGGGGTTTAGCAAAAGGGAAATCATTTGATTTCATTTAAAGTATATAGACTTGGTTTAGTGAGGGTTTCTTTCTGTCTAGTTCACTGCTTTGGGGAAGGTGAGAGGGATGGAGAGTAGAGGGGAGAAGCAGTAGCAGGATTTTAAGTAACAAATGACTGGCCTTGAACTGCACTTCGTGTCTCACCTTTCCATAGCAGTTCCAGAAGGCCCAGGCTTCCCCAGGATAAGGCACAGGCCTGTCGTGACTCAGAGGTCATCTGCTGAGTCACCATCTACCCTGCTCTCTTACTCACGTCCCCATTGCTGTCAAGGCTGACTCTGTAGGTTCTACCTTAACAGGACTTGACGAGGTCATGACTGCTGACAGTTACTGGACATGGACGCTTTCCTTGCCTAAGCATGCCCGGAGCCAGCGCTGCGCCTGAACGTCTCTTGTGAAACGATTCACGGCGTCCACATTCACAGTGACCTTTATTTAAGGAAGCAGGGGAAACAGAATCACAGCAGACTCAGGAAGCCTAGAGTCTAGTCTGGTAATGCTTTGGCAGAGTCATTTTGAGGCAGTGGGGTCTGTCGACTCTGCTTCTATACTTACTTCACCAGCATGGCATGAAGACAAACAGATGTTCTATATAGCTTTTTAAACAAAAAGGAGCTGTGACTGAATTCCAATTGTGAGATTCAGAATTGTTTAATAAGCTTTAGGCTAAAAATCTGCTTCCTACCTGCACATTTGAAACTCTGAGCAGTGAGTCCTCGTTCCAAAGACAAAGTCGTCAGAATGCTGAGGAAGCTGGTGGTCACGGACTGACGTTTGTTCTTCCTGAGTTCATGCCCACCCATCTGATCCTTGGGCTTATTCCGCAGTGTGACTTGCAGGTTTTGCTCTGAACTCCTCGCCACGTTGGCCGCGGTTTTCAAAGCCTCCATCCACTCCTGAGCCCTCTGCCGGGTCTCAGCACGAAGGCGGAGGACATCTTGGGGGAAAATAACTTGAAAGCAGGAGTCACAGTCGTCCAGGTTGTCCATCTGGACAGCCAGACACACGTCCACATTGTAACTTAGCAGGGGATCCTCGTCTAGCTTGCCGGGCTGAAAAGCCATAAGGTAGGCCTTGCTCAGCACAAACGTAAATGCCTTCCAGTTGTTCTGGACAGTTAACCTGTACAGCGTCCCTGACTTGAGGATGTTTTGGTACTGTTTGGGGCCATCAGAGACAGGGGACCGCGTGAGCAGCTCACTGGGTTTCTTCTGTAAACAATGACTCTGTGTACAGTCAAAATGATAACCAACCCCTGGTGAATTTGCCAGCTCATCCTGCCGACCCACATAACCAGGCACGGAGGCGTGCACAACTTCCCAGAGCTTCTGCCCCCAGTCCAGAGCCTCCCACGGTGACTCTGCCTTTAGCTGGAGCTGAGTGTTGTCATACAGAACAGTGTCCACCAGCCTGGCCTCGAGGTTGCCCAGAACAGAGATGCTCTGGAAGTGGGACAGCTGGTACGTGGCATAGGGGTTTTGATTCCCACTGCTGTCGAGGCTGTAGAAGTATAAGTTGTAAGGGGAGAGCTCTGCGTAACAGCTTTGCCAGTAGCTATCGTGGTCCTTCCTAATCTCCAGGTAACCCTTCTTCACAATGTTTGGGAAGGCCTGCTTGTGTTCTAGAAGGAAAAAAAAAAAAAGCAATGCATTAATTCAATAATAAGAATAAATTGAATGAGATGAAAAGGCAGGTGCAAGAAACCAAATGGATAAGGGGTCAGCACCTTTCTGGTTCAAACTAAACTCAGAAGCAGTGAACTTCCAACATAGTACCTAATTGACGCGATGTAATTAGAGAAAAATCTCAGGTCTAAAAACTAAACTAGGATGGAATTACAAGAGTGAGTACTGGGGAGAAGAGCTATGCCAATGTAACAGGAAGAGGTCTGTGTGGAAAACAGAAATACAGGGGAAAACGACACTCTCTATGCCCTGTGGACCCATGAAGCCATTACACTGTGCCAGCATTTCTTGTTCTCTAGGTAACACCCTGCAGAGTATCCACACACAAGACAGAACGTCTCTCCTGCCACCTGACCTAACTCCCGGCTAATCCTCATCTTCCTTTAGGGTGCTGAAGCCAGGAGGGGTCAACGCAAAGGACAGAGCAGGAAGTGTGATGCTCAGAGACTCCTGTTTCACAGACAGCCCCCCCGCCCCAGGACAGCTCAGGAGCCTCCCATCTCATAACCAGTTCTCCAGACTTGACGCAACTCGCTCTCTTTTTAGGCCTCTGCTTAGATAGCAGTTCTTGCTCACCTCTGAGCCTGACTGTGCTTATGCTGTTGCCCCGCTTGCGATGCTCCTTTCCACCACCGCTACCAGCTGCCAATGCTGACCCTGTGCCCAGTTACCCCCTCTTCCAGAAAGGGGGTTTATCCTGACTCCCCCAACCCCCACCCCCATGCCTGCACACCGCCCCCCACCCCGGGGTCAGTAGCCAGTATCCCGACTGCATCATTCCTCTTCAATGGGCTGTTATCAAGGTGTATTATAATCGTTTATTTAAATATCAAAACAAATACATTTTGAAGTTTTTTTTTTAAGTCCGTGCTTCGTAGAGAGGGCAGGGGTGAGGTCTGTCTTTTCATCCTTATATCATAGCACATAATGCAATGCCTGGTACATAGTAGGTACCTTAAAAGACTTAATGAATTAGATATAAAGCTTCCAGCACAATGCCCAGCATATAGTAGATATAATTCCCCTCCCTTCCTCTCTCTTTCAAAAGTGTACCTAGTCATGCCATCTTTAATCAATGATTGGCTACAATATAGACAAGCTTAAAACTGTAATAAAAAGGGATGTCACTTGGGAGGCTTCTTGATACTTTTATCAGGCATGAAAATGACAACTGTGCAAGAGGAAGCAGTCCTCTCTGCTAGAGATTTTTATTCTGAGATGTTTCTATCTCTTCGCTGACACACATTGGAGAGAGTCATAAGCTAATTGAGTCATTCCCTATAGAAGACAAATCACACTCCCAAAGGGCATGATTTCTGATCTTGGCTGAAGGGGAAAAAAAAGAGTAACACAGATCTAGATCTTAAAATAGCAAACCAGAAGAGAAGAGGGAAGAAATGAGGCAGAGAAAAGCCTCTTTTACCTGCTTTACATCTCTGGTCCCGACATTCATTAGTATTTGTGTTAATGCAAAAGCCATTAATTTCCTGCAACCCTCACTAATCCCTTTGTAGAGAGAGATAATGGATGCCTATTCTCAGGTTCTCTTTCTGTTCCGATAATGCAGTATGGGAGGCAGTGCTGTCAGACACCGCTGCCGCCTCTGCCCCTCTCATTTCCATCGAGCGCTGATGAGAGTTCCACCTTTCCCATAATAGGACGGCTTACCAAGCCTCCCTCCGTCCCCGTCCCTCCTGTGACCCAGCGGCTCAGCTAGGAAGCCCTGGGTAAAATAAAAACCACTCCTCTTGCTTTTAGCTAGGAATTTTCCTCTCCTTTTCTTTCCTCCCTGAGAGCTTTTTACAGCGGCTACCATGAATTAGAAAGTCTCTTAATTGGGCCAAACCAGCAGCAAACCTGACTAAAACCTTGCTTCTTTCTAGCTGTACCAGCTGGGGGGGGCGGGTGAGAAGTCCTGGGGGGCTTGAATGAGACGTTGTCTTAGGGGAGCCTTGAAAGTTCCCCCACCTTCTTGATGCAGAAGGGTAAAAAAATGCATTGTGTTTCAATATTTTTCCCCACCTTGGCTCAGCCCTCTCTGAATAGGTGTGTTAACTAGAGACAGAAGAGGGGGTATTAGTCATAGGAAATGACCCATAATTAAAGACAGTGTGTAGTGTAATTTTTTGAAGAAGAAGAATCAAGAAGAAAGCAAATGTGATCAGACAACTATTCTCTGGGGTGTGCATTCCTCTCCGGAGTGCCTGTTTATATCAGACCTTATTAATATTTTGGGTGTGAAGTATTAATTATCTTTGATTGTAGAGAACTGGAGAACTACCATTTCTCTTTAATCTCTAATGACTGCTACTTTCTATTGGATCTGAAGTTTCGTTTAATGTTTTAATGTTTTTTTTTCTATTGACAAAGCAGAAGTTATATATTTAAATCTAAGCTTTTATTAATTTACTGTAGTTCGACTTTTGTTTCCCCAGACCATATCATTTCAACTCATTTAATTAACCCACACACATTACCATCAAGTGTTCAGTTTTACAAATTAATAATACATCTTAACTAATACTAAATGATTCAGATGGGACCACTGAAAAAGATTATGGTGCTGTCTCAATAAAATATAGAGAAAGATGGTCAAAACGAATGGCCGTGCCTGTAAATTTCCTGCTGTAACCACAGACAGTAATTCCTTATTTAAAAGTTTTTGTAAAAAGAACTCTTTGTTTCCCCTTTGCTTTCCACATTCTCGCGTGAAGACCTGGTTCAATTCCTCCTCCATGAGGACACCTTTCTCTCTCCTCCTCATCACTGGGAAGCCAGTGCAGTGGTCTGAGGACAGTAAATGCTACCGACTGAAGAGGAAGAAGGGCATTTCCCTGTCCTGCACGTGAATCACTTCTGTACCATCCACTCAGAGTTCCGCTTTTGTCATTGTTTCCTCTATCTGTTCTCAAAAATGTTTCCATTCTTGTGGCCGCCCCTTAAGCAAACTCTTACACAGGCTCCCACTTCTAGCCCTCCGCCTTCCTGGCCAGTTCACACACCGTTACCAGCTTAACGTTTTTGGGTCGCTACTTAGGTCAACCTTCAAAAGTTTCCTGGTGCTGCACATTAAAATCCAACCTCCTTAGCGTGGCCTTGTACGGTTGTATTATGGAGAACTTCAAACACACTCAACAACATGTAGAAGAGCACAATGAATATCCCCATGGAATCGTCCCTCGGCTTCAAAAATCACCAAGTTTCTGCCATGCTTGTTCCACCTCTCCCCTCCTCGCCGACTCTGGCTCTTTATTGTTGTTGTTGTTCGCTGAGATATTTGAAAGCTAATTGCAGACATTCTATCACTTCTATTATAAATACTTCAGGGTGTATCTCTAACAAATAAGAACTTTAAAATATATATGAGATACTATTTTCACTCCCAACAACATGAATAATTCCTTATCTAACACTGTCTATGTCTAATTTCTTTAATACAGATGGTTTGCTCAAATTAGGTTCACACATTGATTTGGTTCCTATATCTTTTAAGTATCTTTAAATCTGTAACAGTTTCCCCCTTTTCACCCTCTTCCCCCTTTTTTTCATGACATGTATTTATTGAAGGAATTAGTCCATTTGTCCTTTAGAGTTTCCCACTTCCTGGATTTGGCAGACTGTACCTTAATGGTGTTGTTTAAAAGTTTTTTTGTTTCCCATGTTTTCTGTCAACTGCTATTTAGATCTTAAAGTTCATATTTCAGATTCTATTTCAGATTCATCAAATATGTATTAAATTACAATAAAGTTGTTCAAAAAATCAGCAAGAAAGGTAAAAACCAAAAAAAAAAACCCGCATTTTTTCTTCCACACCCCCGCACACATGATCCTTCTGCGCAGGTCAGCCCGTGTGCCATTTGAGCAGAAGCCTTCAGACAGTATATAGAATGTCTATATTTGTATTTATGTAGTGACATAAATAATAATTGGTATGTTCACATATATTAGCATATATAATTATTGAACTGTTATGTACTTTAATTTTGGTTATTTTATGCAATTTTTGTCTTTTAAAAAACCACCATGTCCCAGAATGCAATAAATGAAATATTTAGGTAATCGAGTTTAGCAAGGCAATCTGACATGCCTGAGTCAGTACATGAATCAAGTCACAAGATTAGGATTCTGAAGATCAGGCAGTAGTTAGTATGAAAGACAAAGAGCAATATTTTATGGTTTCCAAAGAACTCCAAAGCCCATGCGGTATCAATATTCCAAATCAAAATTGTCTAGGCAAATTAAAGGAAACATTTAAATTCTTATAACCAATTAATAAATAGGAAAGGAAGCTGAAGTGAAGAATTAATGGAGTACTCATAATACAACAGTTTTACACACTGTCCTAGACAAACCCAAAATGATAACCTCTTGAAGTTTAGCAGATATATTATAATTCTTTTGCCCTTCAGCATCTTTCTTTTCAATTTCCCTTTAAACTATCCATTCTATAGTCAGCTATTAGGATAGATGATTTTAAGATCTGAAAGCCTAGGAAACAAGGATTTACAACTACTAAATGGGCTCAAAGATAAGGAAACAAAGCAATTTGACACATGTTTACTGAGTACCAACTATGTGCAAAGCAGGGGACTAAGCTTTGTTGAAGACACAACGATATCAAGTTCTCAAAGTGTTTATACTTTGGTTTTGGTAAATGACTCTACTATGAGACTTCCAGATCTATACAGTAAATTGAATTAAAATAAAGAAGAAATTATAGCGTCACTTCAAAACAAAGATACCCCCTACAGTTAGGCTCTTCTTCATGAATGGCCAATGCCAATTACCTGTATCAACTGTTATTTTCTCTTGACTTCCGGATCTCATTTCCTGCTTCGTAGACTTCAGTGCCACTTGGTTCAACCTTAACTCACAGCTCTGGCCCAGGTACTACTAGCACTACACTGATAGCCTACAGCATGAGAGGGCATAATTT